CATTTTAGGAGCCAAGGCAGAAAACCAACTCAGGGTTCAAATATTTGCCTTAAGGGCTCCCTTTATGAACATTCTTGAATTTTTCTTTATCTCCAAAACAAATATTGTTGCAATTATAATAGATTATTGATTTACTGGATCTATTAAATGATGACAATAGTATGCTGTAAAACCCTCAGAAATATATATTCACATGACCTAAGTCCCAAAGACAGGAAAACGAGGTTCAGGTTAATAACTTTTTTTATTTCCACTAGAATGAGTTAGGTCAAGAACTCTTTGACTTTTATCTGACATTTAATTTCCTAGCTTGCTTCCTTCAAGAGTGGTCAAATGTCACCTCCTTCATGACCTGGTTAGCAATCACTTCCCTTCCCATCTGACTGCCATGCCCAAGTCAGAGTCCCCAGCACTAAGTACATGCCTCCACCAGCACTTCTCAGCTTCTCTAGTCACTTGGACATGTGTCTCTCTCTCCCACGTGACTGAATTTCTCAAGCCTCAAACCCTATCCCTCTCTCAATTTCAGCAGATAAGCAAGCCCCCTCAGACCTCACGAAAGAAAATTCCCACAACTTCCCTCCCCTCAAATCCACTGCTATCTGCATTCCCCTCCCCTTGTCATCCCTCCTGTCCCAGTAAAGGAGTCCTTCTCCTAAGGCAAATCCCTCCATCTCTGATCCCATCTGTTCCCCTTGTTCTCAGGTACTCTCCTCTTTCCACTCTCTTCAGCCTCTCCATCTAAAATGTATCTTTCTCATGAGCACCAACACATGCTAGTCTCTCAGCTTCAAATAACTCTCCGTCCACATCACTTCTCTCCACCAATGTCCTCCCTCTTAGAAATCTGGTTTCTCTTAAGTTGCCTACAAACACTACTCCACTTGCTCACCACCCGCTCAACAATGTGGCTTTTGTTCCCACTACCTCACCAACACTGCACTAATCAAAGCCAACAGCCACCTCCTGGTCCCTAAATCCAACAGATTCTTTTTAAAACTTACCTCACCAGTCCTCTAAGCAGCCACTGTATGCTTCTGAACTCTTCTTACCTTCTTGACAAGTGCCTGGGTGGTGCAGTTAACGTGCCTGGCTGCCAACTGAGAGGCTCAAAGTTCGAGTCCACCAAGAAGCATCTCAGAAAAAAAGTCTGGCAATCTACTTCCAAAACATCAGCCATTGAAAACCCTGTGGAGCACAGATCTACTCTGACACACAAGGGGTCGCCATGAGTTGGAGTCGACTCGATAGCAGCTGTTACCTTCTTGAAACAAGCCTTGGCTTCAGTAATCCACACACACACACATCCCACCCCTCTTTCTGACATTCTTATCCATGCTTCTTTGGTAGTAATAATCACAACTTCTTACATCCGTTTAGAACTGAGTTATATAAAGCACTTTCACAGGTCATGCACTGATTCACTTACCAAATGTTATGAATGAATATGTTATTTGATCCTTACAACCCCAAGTTTACTAGATGGGTGTTCTCTCATTTCAGAGATAACAATGAAGCTCATAGTCAAAGCAATTTTGTTCAAGTCACACAGAAAGGGTCAAAATTGGTACTCCAATCCCATCCTCAACTTTAAAACCCATGCTCCTTTCAGTACTGTGTCATATGAGCAGTTAAAAATATTCAAGTTCCACATCTAAGAAAAAATGAAGACATAACTGATTATATTGCAGAAAGACCCACAGGCCAATATCGCATAATACCACCTGAGAAGGAAAACAGAACAAAGGCTGGCTAAAACTTTTCAGATCCTCTTTTCATACATAATCTTGAGCCTCTATTCAACTGCTCACAGTGAAAACTTCCAGAGCTCAGACAGTACCCTAACAGCAGACATCCGGTGAACGCAGACATCAGCTGCAGTAGTTCATCAACGGCTGCTATAAACACCATGTGTAAGTCATTTCTCCCCTTCTAAAGAAAAAGCCAGCAGCTGTTCGCTAAGTTTTTTTTCTTTTATTGTGGATGAAGACATTGCCAACTCACATATATCATTTTTATTTGGAGTATTTTTTTTGCCTTGCAGTGCTCCTGAGAAATTCAGAAACGCATCGACTTTAGCACTATAGGACACAAACTAACATTAAGGTTTGTGTTGTAAATTTCTCACATTCAGACATTTTCCTAAAAATCAAAAAACAATTTATCAACTTTAATAAGTTAAAAAGTAAAGACTGACACGTGATCACAAGTGTCAGAACATTAGAAGTATCATTATTTTTTCCATAGGAATATATGAAATAAATATCACCGATACTTGATTATTTACAAAATAAATTTTTGTTGATGGAAGACCTTTTAAATACTTTGACATAAAATTTTCATTAGCTTTAAAAATAAAAATTCAAACGCTTTGACACATAATAGCTCTTTCTAAATAATTCTCATCACTCCCTTGCCCCTCAAGACATACTTGTTTTGGGGATTTTTTTTTTTTACCTACTGATTTGGTAAGTATTTTTGATAGTCTCTTTTTTTGCCTTTTTATTAACCATCAAAAGATTAAACTGGAAGCTTTATTTGGGGGAACAGTTAATGTTTTAACTGCCTAGCTGTAAGAAAGCCATTCCTTATTTCCATAGTTTTGTTATTTAGTTTGTTTTGCTTTTTTAATCAACGATGGAAGGAACTAAAACTCAAACAACCTCATGATACATGATTATACTAAAATCAAATTCAATGGCTGGAAGAATTTTCTACTCTAGCGTAGAGGTTGAAAACAATTAGGAATGTTGTGAAAAACCGCGGCAGCTAAGGCAGAATTCAACCACAAATTCTAGTAAGTTTATAGAGAAGTAAACAGTAAAATTATTGTAAAGTACTGCCGTAGAATTACTGTTAGCAACGTTCCATTGCTAACATTAGAATTAGATGCTTCATCACTGTAGGATTACTAAGAAGATTCCTTGAGCAGATGGTTCATCTCTGACACAACTCAGTTTCAGAAAAGTTGATGACTTATGTCTGGTTTAAATCAACACACAGTATGCAGACCAGTCAGTACAGTCTGATGATGATACAACTGAAACATTAGGTCCAATAACTTTAGGACAAGGTCACATAGTTACTTAAATTGCCGCCATGTAGGATCATGCTACATGACGTTTAGATATGCAAACCATCCATTAACAGCTTTCAAACTTACGTTAAACTATGGGGTGAGGGGGATAGGCTGTTTTGGTTGGGGAAGGAGATATTCAAAATGTTGTAAAAGTCATTTAAAATATGATGACATGCTACTTAAACTTTCACCATGCATCTCTTTTTCAAATGATATGAGAGAGAGAACTTTTAAGACCATGTGTCTTTTTTTAACTTCAGCTGCTTCACACAGAAATGAACTGCAATGCAAGCAACACTTAAAGATGGTCAGTGAAAGCATCTTTGTAAAGAGCATATGAAAACCTAACAGGAATATTTTCCTAAAGAAATAATGGGCAAAACCAACAGGAGGCGGTTTGACAGTTCTAATATAGAACTTGTATGATAACTTCCTGTAAGGTACACGACATAAAGAACGGCATTGCAAATAAGTTAGCTAAAGAGACAGGTGACACTCCGAGGCAGCATTGTCTCAGTTACTTAATTCTTCAGAAAAACAAGTTTTATCCACTGACATATAATTAAAGACTTCCAGTCTTCCAAATACAGTAGAAAGTATACAGTTAATCATGGCAAAATTTACAACCAACAAAATTTACCTCTGGCTGGAGCCAGGTGTCTATTTACATATTTGGATTAGTATCATTTTCACCTTTCCTTGCTATACAAACGTTTCTATCTTAAACACACTGAAATTTACAAAATTTGCAAGAAATGTCTTTTTAAATGCACAACTTCAACAACTAATACATATATGAACATTTTGATACAATTAAGTTCCAAGTCAGGATTTTATACCACAATTTTAATATAAAATTAAACACTCTTACTCTTAAGTTCCAAACACTTGGTGTGGTGTTCTTGAAGTGCCGCTGCTCTCTGTGTACCTCAGGTATCAACACCCCAGACAGAGGTGTCACACGGAGCATCACTGTTCATTACACTTATGTAGATGCAGCTGTATGATTCACACTTACATGAGAATTGTGTGTATTTATATGCGGAAACATTTAGTTTTAATACGATAACTTTAAAAAGATACCTTAGCTCTTAAAACTAAATGATATAGCCATACCACGTACTCAACAATGAAAAGGAATTACTGATATGCATAATAATTTGGATAGATCTCAAGGGAATTAGGCTGAGTGAAAAAAACCAATCTCAAAAGGTTACATACTGTATGACTCTGTTTATATTAAACAAAAAAACAAGCAAAACAACTCGTTGCCGTCGTCGATTCCGATTCATAGCAAACCTACAGGACAGAGTAGAACTGCCCCACAGGGTTTCCAAGGAGCAGATGACACATTAGAACTGCCAACCTTTTGGTTAACAGCTGAGCTCTTAACCACTGTGTCACCAAGGCTCCCTTCTGTTTATATAAGTCTTGAAATGACCAAATTGTAGAAATGGAGAACAGGTAGGGAAGGCGGTGGCTGGGTAATCCTTTGCGGGAACTGCTCTGTATCCCAACTGTAGTGGTGATAAAATTGTATACAATCAAGTACATACACATTCCACCTCAGGACACTCAAGAGCTCCCAGGGACAACCCTGTTCCTGACCTGTCTACACAAAGGTCTGTAAAGATGATTAATATATGCTTCGGATCGACTCTCTACACTATGCAGGTAAGTCACTACTAGTATTTTTTTTCTTTTTATCAAGATAAAAGATAAACCAAATGTCTCTAGCTTAAATGAGCTTGTAAAATCAGAGAAGAAAATCAAAGAGTTGCTATATAGCTACTAGCATTTTTGTCTCTCTTTTTATTTAGTCTTTTGTAAATCAGATGTTTCTAGCTTAAATGAGGTCAAATCAGGGAAGGAAAAAAGCAGATTATATAGCAAATACTTGCTCCTGTGACATCTGCAATGTCTAAAAGCATTAAGAATTTTTTATTAGATTCAGAAGAAAGTACAATGGCAAACAAATACATGACTTTTTCCAAAAGGCCACTTTGTGATAAAGTAATAAGCATAGTGTACATGGTTTCTTTAAAGTGCTCTATCATCTCTGGCTTGAGAATCACCTATTGCTTTAAAAGGTCTTTCAACACAACTCCAGCACTGTTGTCAGGTGACACTGGCAAAGGTGTAAACGTGGGCAAAACATCTGAGATGGGTTTCAAAAGAAGATGCCCAGACCCACCAGTTCCAAGTCCGGCTGGGTTAACGAGGGGCACAGCTGCGGAGCGTGGAGCTAGGAACGGATTCACATCTGTTCTTCTACTGGTTCTGGATCCTGTTGCTTCTAAACAACAAAATATGCATTATTTAGTCTCCCACCCTTCACAACAGCAGAAAGAAAACGATCCTTATATTGTTTCATTTATTAACACATATACATACATATAAATATTCAATTTACCACCACTACCAACTTTACTTCCTGATAATAAGAGTATGGTATTTGGCTTTTGTTTGTTTGTCTGTTTTTTGAAGGTTCTTTAATTATTCAAAATGAGCAAAATAGGTCTCAATTACTAAACAATTTATATTGTTAAAATTTGATTGAAGTCTACCCTTCGTAATTCAAAACATTTTCTGATAAAAATAATGTTATACATGGCGCTTTAGGTTCCCAGATTTGGCCCCCAAAATAAATTTGACTCATATGTTGCTGGGTTCTGGATCCTACAAGCAGGCTCAATGGAATGTAGAAGGATGAAAGAGGACAAGGAGAGAAAGGAGTGACAAAAAGAAAAGGGGGAGAGAAGAGTATCTGTGTGCATATCTAACACTTTATTAGACACATTAATATTGCTATTTTATACTTAAACAGCAGTTATATAAATGATAAACCTCATCTGCCATAACAGCTTTTTAAAAGGTGATGTCTATGGTGCAAGGCAAACTCTTCTAACTACACACCTGAAAGATGGATAATTGCGACGGTCATGAAAAAAAGCTGGCACCCATGTTACAAAAATAACGATTAGAACATTTAATTTAAAAAAAATAATAACAATAACATATGCATTACACTGCCTGATCATCTTTTAAATAGTCAAAGGTTTGAAAACAACTCCTGATTAGATTATTTCTGTATGTCATTAAGTTGGCATGATTCATTTTTATTGGAACAGGTATTTGGAATCGGAGTCATCCCTGGGTAGCACAAATGGTTAAGCACTCAACTATTAGCCAAAAAATTGGCAGTTTGATCATTCCCAGAGGCAACTCGGAAGAAGGCCTGGCAACCTGCTTTGGAAAGGTCACATTCTTGAAAACCCCACGGCATGCAGTTTCTACTCTGCACACGTGGGGAGGCTGTGGGTCAAAACAGACTCAACCGCAACTAACAACAACAACATACTGGAGTAAGCAGCAGAGAGAATTCAATTCTGCCTTACTACCCAAGACCACCAACAAATTCACAGGTAAGAAACAAGCAATCCCTTGAAGGTGCCCATTTCAGCAATGGGAAACTCAATAAAAAAGGAAGCCCCCTAAATCAAAGAAAGCACTATGACAAATTCATCAAATCCATCTATCATTAAGCTGTACTTTCCTCTGAATGACAACTTTCCAAACTCTCTAGTAAACTCTGACCCCTGCCACACGCTTCCAAATCTAGAATTAAAGGCTAACACCGTACAAACTCAGAACATTACTGGGTTTTGTCCCTGATCAATTCAAATCAAGCTGGGCACATGACTTGATAATAGAGAGACGGGGAGAGGAAAGCAATGGGAAGGAAAGAAAGGGGAAGAGAGAGACTCCGCCATAATGAATTCTGGAATTTGCTTTGAGATGCTATAACCTAGTGTACCAATGAAAAAGTATTTTCAGTACAGGTTGTACTTGTTAGATAAAATTACAACTTTTCACTAAATTCAGCAGCCAAATCATTTACCTAAACAACAGATAAATTTTACCACTTTCTCCTTCTATGAAAGTTCAGGAAAATAGAAATCTTTGTCTAAATGAGTAAGTTTTAAAAATTTCAGAATATACATTTTTTCATTTCTTTGTCCAAATTTAAATATCTGACATGTGATATAAACTTGATAGTATATAAAACATACACTTTTACAGTTCAACTAGCAAACACGCTAGCCTATTTTCAAGTATGAAAATCTCAGAAAAAAGATTAAAGAATCAGTGTATAGTCTAAAAAATTATCATTCGATTTCAACTCAAGAAATTTTACTGCATGCCGATGTAAGGGATATATCCTTATAATCTAGTGAGACAGAAAGATACGTACACGTCTACAACCACCAAACCATTAGCTTCCGGGCAGACCTCCCAACATATGAGAGTGCTTTATAACATTCTCATTGTCTGGGTCAGTTTACTAAACTGCTCTTGTAAGTATTATTAACCTGTCAAGGCTTGGTTATTAAATGTAATACACTTTCACAGGGGAAAAATGTCTTCTCTAACTATAAACTACACTTCTAACTCTGATTAGCAATAAGCACTATTAGTGAGAAGGGAAAACAGGTGATCAAGCAAAGGTCTGACAAATTCACTATCACTTCTAGAAGTGCTTATGTGGAGAAAGAAGTGTCATTCTGATATACAAAGGGAAAATATTTCACATTGTTTAAATTTAATCTAATCCAATTAAATACTGGATTGCAACAAGAATATATGAAGTCCAAATTTGATGCTTTAGTGGAATTTTGGAAAAAGTCATTACACATTTTCAACGACACTAAAAATTTAGTTAATATCACTGAAAAACTCATCATAAATTATTCATTTTTTTAAATTACAGAAAAAATAAATATCTGGTTTTACCTTTAAAACTTTCTGGTTCATTTGTAGCTAGTTTTCTCATTCCTGGTGAATCTAGAGGTTTCATGTCGTGAACAGAAAGCTTTGGTGGTGGAACAGACGGATGAGATTCTGTTTCTAGAAATTTAACAAAGAGTTCTGAAAAAGACTAAAAAAATTTTTTTTGTTATACTTAGGCTAGATAATACAATTATATTTATTATAACTAAGAAAAGATACCAGTTATTCTAATTAAATATTAAAAACTTAAATCATGCCATTTGAGTCTTTTTTATGGATAAGATTTACAATTAAAATTGCTAATACTTTAGCTACATGGGTATCAACTACAAAAATTTAACAATTTAGTCAATATTCTTTGATGATAACATTCATTGCAAACACCTTATAATCAAGTTAGCCAACTGATAAACCTTATTATTTCTTGCTATCAATGGCACTTAAGACATCAAGTCTTAAATCATTTTAATCTCTTTACATGGACTTGAAAAATTACATTAGTTATATTTTTCTAAAGTAAGACCCAATCAATAAACGTGGCAAAAGATCACCAGTAATATTAGCAGATTAAAATGACATAATGTAGACTGTTCCTTTCAATTAAATTTTACGTGATCCAAGTAAAACAGCTCTGGGGTTTTATCCTAAACTAACCAGTTCTAGGTGAGTTATCTATCCTCAGTTTCCTCTTTATTAAAAAATAAGAAAGGAAGGAAAAAAGAAAATAAAACTCCATATTCTAACTCATGTTGTTGTACTTGTTGTTAGGGGCCATCACAGAGCTCCCCAATTCAATTAATATTCATCTAAAGTAGCCTATACAGGCACTGTGTATATGTGTTTATGTAATAATATTATTAAATTATTAAAACTGTGAAAGGAAAATCTGGGAGTTAATGGCGATGGTTAAACAACATGCTGAACATATCTGATGTCACTGAACTGTATGCGTGAAGTTAGTTGAAATGGCAAATGTTTTGATACCTATATGTTTATCACAATAAAAAAACCATATATAATAAAAAAAATTACCATCATGGAAAAATTTTGTTTTAATTAAAACTGACTTATCCTTAAGTGAACTGCCTCTCTGGATCTCAGTTTCCATAACTCCAAAATAAAAGGGCTATATAAAATAACTGAAAAAAGAACTTCGGACACTTTGCAAATGAGAGCATGTCTGATCTTTTCATCATTCATATCCAGCAAGAATAACATGGTTCTTACACTATTAAACACAGATGGCTGATTCGGTCTCAGAGGTGTGTTAGGGACACTTTTTGATCCTCCTCCAAGCCACCCAGTCATCCACCTGGTAACACCGCCCTGATCTTCATTAAGCAACTGAAAGATTATTTTAAAACAGAAAAATATTATCAATACCAAAAAAAAAAACCAAAAAACAATTTTTATATGATTTCAGACACTAGCAAACCATTCTTTTCAAGTTCAATTCTGAGTAGATATATTCTACTGATGAAAGCTATAAAGACAATGAAATGTCACCCAAGCAATATCTCAATGAAAGTTTTGGGGATTGTCATGTCTCAAAATTTAAGCATCCTGATATGAGAGGTGGTTTATAAGTTATAAAAGATTTAAACTAGTACCATACAAATTGAACAAATCCACCTCTTAACTGTAGTATGAAATGATTCTGTTTTCATATTATTGAGAAAATTATATTCATTAAAAATTATATAATATACAGTAATGGAAACAATTTTAAATGACATCACTATTTTAGTTATAAACATATGGAGAATGGCTTCCATTGCTCAGTTACCTGCTCCATTTCCTCCCTTTTGATACCCAGGATGCTTCCCATTAAGCGCAACACTTCATGACGCTGACTTTTTGGTGTGTGAAAATGTCCAACAAAGAGGTTTCTCATCAGGACTCTATGAAAATGAAGGCAGGAAGAGCTCAAGCTAATTCAAGTTATCCCAACACTGACTGCACACAACCAATAAACACTAAGCATATTTTCTCAAAGACAATAAAATATTTTGAACCTCTTTTTTTTTTTTTCCCCTTAATCTTGAGAAATCTAAAAGTATTTCAGACAACCTAGGAAGTATACCTTTAAAAGCATCACTTATAGGCACTCACCTTCTTCAACCAAATAACCAAGCATGATGGTGGCCTCATCAGTAACCTTGAGGAGACACATCAGATGTCCCCACCTCCCCACTTTAAATGGTGTTAATGGTTCTTGCACTTAATCGTTACACTTAGATTTCCCCATTCACATTCATTAAAAATTAATTTGCTAATAATACCTATTTTTTTAAATATTAAATGACATATATACATATATATCTAGGTTTCAGACCTAATATGTTTGAGCAAGATGATATGTTCATTTAAGGACAGTAAAAAAAAAAAAGGTAAGAATATACTTTTATTATTTTCTAAGGTACTTCATACTTCATATTGGGATGATATTTTAAATCGTCCATATGGTTTTAAGAAAAATAATCTGTGTTGGGAAAAAACGATTTAAAAAACAAAAGGAGGAAGGAAGTTATTCTGTAACCCCTCATTAAAACTTCCTACAACTCATCACTATATAAGGAAAAGGTGTTAAGTAATCTCCATAAACTATAGAGAAGTTACAAGGCAGAGCATACTTATCCACTCTTCCTTCTGTGCTATTTACTAAATTCATCAATTTCTTTTGTATATCATCCAGCATTTCCTTTTGGAGCTCATCTGTTTAAAAAAAAAAAAAATGTGAATAAAGATTCTTAGTCACTAAGTGATTAAAAATAGTCTGGATAAAAACATAATGAGATTTCTCACATCTTTACTATGAACTTTGACTATATGTACTTATTCTAATGACAACATTCAAATTACTTCCAGCTCTTCTTTAGTCCAGGGAGCTAAGTACTCTGGTATAGAAATTACCCAGAAGCCAATTCTTTAATGGAAAATTTAAAAACCAAAAAAGGTTTTCACCCCCTTCAGAAACTTAATAGCGAAGAGATTTTCACCACCGCTTCCTCGCATGAAACAGTTCCAGAACCACTCTGTAATGGGAAGAATTGGAAACGACAATTTTTGATTTTCCTTTTTCATTTTCCTGGCTGGACTCGGTTTCTGGTGAGCTAAGAAGAATATCTAACACAACTAAGACCATGGCTCAGGATGCTGGTAGGGCAAAGTATCCTGGGGTAAGGAAACTGCAAAATACATGTGAGATCACTGGCTCTAACATACCAATCAAGTTAATGACTAATCAAGCTTATGACTGATTTAGAAGGATGCTTGGACTACTATTTTAAAATTTTTATTATTTAAAAAAGGAAGAAAAATTTGTAAAATTTTGGTGGGATAGTTGGAATTTGAGCAGTATTAAAGGCAAAGTCTAGGATTACCACAAGAGAGGCCTTGTTCATAAATTCAACCATGCAACATGGCCAAGATTCCTAGACTAAGGAACTCTCAGCCAAACCCACAGAGTTTACACCTGTTACCTCAGAAACAAACAGTGAGCTGAAAGAAACACTCACTGACTTCAAGCTAGGTTACAAGTTTTTCTGAAAGACATGAAGGAGAAACTGCTTTTCAGCAGAACTCTTACTTTCCAAATGAAGGACCACTCATATCCAAAAGCAAAACTTTGAATTCTTTCCATGAATTCACTCTTTCTTTGGGTTATTCTGCATTTTCCTAGTAGCTGAATACAGGTTCCCTTATCAAATACATGATTTGCAAATATTTTCTCCCATTCTGTGGGTTGTCATTTCACTTTCTTGATGGTATCCTTTGAAGCATGAAAGTTTTTAGTTTTGATGAAGTCCAATTTATCTATTTATTCTTTTGGTATCTAGGCTTTTGGTGCCATACCTAAGAAACCATGGTCTAACTCAAGGTCATGAAGATTTACTTCTATGTTTCTTTCTGCAAGTTCTACAGTTTTAACTCTAAAATTTAGGTCTATCATCCATTTTGAGTTACTTTTTGTGCATGGTGTGAAACAGGGTCCAATTTCATTCTTTTGCACGTGGATATCCACTTGTTCCAGCACCATTTGTTGAAAAAAAAACTATGCTTTTCCCCCATTGAATTGTCCTGGCACCTTTGCAGAAAATCAAATGACCATAAATGTATGGTTTCTTTCTGGACTCAACTGTCACTGCAAGACTTCTGCAAATGCTTTTTCTTCTGCCTGGAAAGCTCTCTGAACCTTTTGTGTCGGCACTGCCTACTTAACTCCTATTCACCCTTCAAGTCTCAGTTCCTCAAGAAGTCTTCTCTGAACCCCATGGATTAGGCCAGGCCCATCTGCTTTACAGTCTGATTCTATCCTGTACAATGCTCTGTACCATGCCTAAAATGTATATTCAAAATGTCCAGTTTAACTGCTTGCAATGACTTATGTTTTTTAAAAATCTAAACTGCAAAATGTAATTCATACAGTAGGCTAACTTTACCAAAATAGAGATAGTTGCCACAACCATATTATAAAGGCAAAGTCTGTGTTCGGAAAATCTACTACAAACTTTTCCTTTCCTGTCTTTCCAGGAAGGAATTTAAACTCGGACATTAAAAAAAAACAAACAAACCTGAGAACAAGAGTATTATTAAAGTCTGAGTTAGTAAAAGACATTTTAGATTCTTAATGTGTGCATATATACTATGAGCACATGGTGCTAATTTGGGCCTTCCTAGCACTGCTTTCTAAATGTAAAGAGACCTCTCAACTGCTTAGAAGCAGAGCAGCAAATAAGCAAGTTTATCTCTTGTCTCTGTTCTAACCTAACCATCCCACTCACAAGCTAAAGTAGAAGCCAGAATAAAGCTCGGCACGGCATTCTCTTCCCACCCTCCGTCCACTCCTCCACAAGGCCATGAAAGGTAGCAGAGGAACAGAAGTCAAACATATCGCACCCCTACCTTATCTTTCTCTGAGATTTCTCTTCTCCTATCCACTTTACTCCAACATTAATAATTTTTTATAGATTACATGACAAAATAATATTTTTGATATAATGGGTTATATAAAACATTATTAAAATTAATTTCACCTATATCTTTTCCTTTTTTAATGTGGCTATTGAAAAATTTAAAATCACACATGTAGCTTGCATTATATTAATACTGAATAGCACTGCTTTAGAGTATAATCAAGATATAACAACTACATATACTGTCTCTCATTTAAAAAAGCAAGACAAACCTGAATGATAAGTAGAAATCTTCAAAGTAAAATTCACGAAGAGTTGATTGTAATAAAAATGATTTTAGTAAAATCAGAAAAATTTAACTTTGCTCTATGAAAAACTGATCAACATACTATATACGTATTAGAATAAATAAAATCCAAAACACTGACACCATCAAATGCTGGCAAGGATGTGGAGCAACAGGAACTCTCATTGCCAGGAGAAATTCAAAATACTACAGTCACTTTGAAAGACAGTTTCTTACAAGCTAAACACAGTCTTACCATATGATACAGCAATCATGCCTTGAAGTATTTACTCAAATGAGTTTAAAGCTTAGGCCTACACAAAAAACTGCACATATATTTGTAGCAACTTTATTCATAATTGCCAAAATTTGGAAGCAACCAATACATCCTTCAATAGGTAAATATGAATGATATCCATACAATGGGATATTTTTCAGCAATAAAAAGAAATGAGCTATCAAGCCACAAAAAGACAAGAAGGAACCTTAAATGTAGACTGCTAAGTGGAAGAAGCCAATGTGGAAAGGCTACATACTGTACGATTCCAACCATATGCCATTTTGAAATAAGCAAAATTAGAGAGACAGTAAAAAGATCAGTGGATGCCAGGGGTGAGGAAGAAAGGGGGATAAAGAAGAGGGAGGAATGAGTGGAACACGGGATTTTTAGGGCAGTGAAACTATTCTGTATGATATTGAAATGGTAGATACATATTATGCGTTTGTCAAAACCCACAGAACTGTACAACACAAAGAGTGAACCCTAATGTAAGCTATGCACTTTAGTTAATAATAATATATCAGTATCAGTTCATTAATTATAACAAACGTACCACACGAATGCAAGATATCAGTAACGGGAAACAGTGGGCAGGGTGAGAAGTATACGGGTTCTCTGTACTCATGCTCAATTTTTCTGTAAACTTAAAACTGCTTTAAAAAATAAAGTCTATAAATGTGGATAAATCTGGAGGACATTACACAGAGTAAAATAAGTCAATGACAAAAGGATAAATGTTGTATGATCATACTTTTTATAAGAAGACAAGAATAGAGGCATATATATACAGAAATCAGCGTTCATTGGTGGTTACCAGGGATGGGTGGGTGGGGCGGGGAATCACTCTCTAAAGAGTAGGCTCTTGTTATTTTTGGTGATGGGAAAGGCAGCACTGAATGTGGGTGAAGTGCGCACAGCATGACCAAGGTAAATGATGCCACTAAGAAATACATAAAAGAACATTTCTGATAAAGGGTATTTGTTTTTGTTAGGTGCCGTCGAGTTGGTTCCGACTCGTAGCGACCCTACATGTCAGAAGAGAACTGCCCCATAGGGTTTTCAAGGAATGGCTGGTGGATTTGAACTGCCAACCTTTTGGTTAGCAGCCAAGCTCTTAACCACTATGCCACCAGGTCTCTGGATAAAGGAAAAGACATATATAATTATGTAACACTACCAACCCAACCCCCCAAAAAAAGTGTGTGGTTACAATGTATATATGCTTACTGGATATATATCTATATCTATATATATGTATACACATACATTAAAAAAAACCCAATCCCACTGCTGTCGAGTCGATTCCAACTCATAGTGACATATATTCATATATATAATAAACAACATGGGGGCACAGTTACGGATACTTCTTAGTCACAACCAAATACCTCATGAGTTTGGTTTTCTTGATTTGAAGGCTTAGGACCACAGTCTAGTGGGATAACTCAGTCAACTGGAACAATATGGTTCATAAAGTTTATGTTCTACATCCTAGTTTGGTGAGTAGTGTCTATGGACTTAAAAAGCTTGCAAGCAGCCATCTAAGATACAACTATTGGTCTCTACTCATCCAGAGCAAACGAGAAAGAAGGAAACTAAAGACTCAGAGAAGAAAGTAGTCTACAGGACTAATAATCTACATGAACCACGGTCTCATCTGCCTTGATACCAGAAGAACTAGATGGTGCCCGGCTATGACTATCGACTATTCTGATAAGGGTAACAATAGATGGATCCTGAGAGAATGGGAGAAAAATGTGGAACAGAACTCAAATTCTTAAAAAAGCCCAGACTTACTGGACCGGTTGAGACTGGAGGACTCCCCAAGACTACTGCCCTGAGATACTCATTAAACCTTGAACTGAAACTATTCTGAGGTTACCTTTTAGTTAAATAACAGAGTGGCTCATAAAATAAATACAACCTGTGAGTACTGCATTCCTCTAAAAAATCATATTAATGAGACCAAATGGTCAACTATTACCCTAAAGCAATGATGAGAAGGTAAGGAGGCAGGGAATCTAGATTACTGGAAATGGAGCAACCAGACCAGAATTAATGAGAACGCTGACACACTGGAAAAATGTAACCAATGTCACTAAATAATTTTTGTAGAAATTGTTAAATGGGAACCTAATTTGGTATGTAAACTGTCACCGAAAACACAGCATTAAAAAAATAAAATCTACTTTTAAAAACTGATCAAGAAATCAAGTTGTCTTAATAAAGTTCA